ATTGTGTGTATGTACCATAGTTGGGTTATCCATTCCTCAGTTGATGGACATCTAGGTTGTTTCCATCTTTTGGCTATTGTAAATAGTGCTGCGATGAATATGGGTGTGCATATATCTGTTCTTGTCATGGCTGTCACTTCTTTAGGGTATATACCTCGTAATGGAATAGCTGGGTCAAATGGTATTTCTAATTCCAACTTTTGAAAGAATCGCCATACTGCTTTCCACAATGGTTTCCGAGGCAGAATAGAAATGACCATTTAATTAATTCTTCTCATTGATAAGTCTTATTGAAATTTACTTGATCTGACATTATAGCAGCCCCATCCACCTTTAGGTTCTGTGAGAGTGCTTTTACTTTTCTAATTCAGTTGTTGGTAGAAGTATTAACCAGAGCGTGACTGAGGTTAGAAGCCTAGAATTAGAGACTTTTATCCAGGCTTAAGGAGCTCTGGTGGCAGAGTGCCTAAGACATTTGACTGCTAACCAGAATGCTGGCAGTTCAAATCCAGCAGCCACTCCTTGGAAGGAAGGTTAGGCAATCTATTTGGTAGAGATACTGCCTCGGATACCCAAGGAGGGGTTGCTATGAGTCGGGACTGACTCGATGGCAGTGAGTTTGGTTTGGTTTGGTGTATCCAGGTTTATGCATTAATCAATGCCTATCAGCTCTGGTAGCATAGTGGCTAAGGCACTTGACTGCTAACCAGAAGGCTGGTGGTTCAAACCCATCAGCCACTCCTCGGAAGGAAGATGGGGCAATCTTCTTCTGTAGTGATACTGCCTCGGAAACCCAAGGAGGGGTCGCTATGAGTCAGGGCCAACTCGATGGCACATAACAACAACAACAACAATCATTTCACAGTGAATGTTCGTGGACATTAATTTCATACTTGCTTCCATGAAGAGGGTGAGATAAGTTGGGAAATGATTCATAGTTTTTGGAGAGTAATATGGCACACACCATAGTAAAGGTTCTGAATGTCTAGCAGTAATCTGTTTAACTCAGTATTATTTAAATTTATTTGACAGAAAACATCCCACCCCCCACCCCATGTTATGAATAATACCAAACAAACAGAAACCTCCCATTTGCTTATCTTGTTCAAAAGAGTGTCCTGGGAAATTGAATTCAATTGTCTTGCTGATACACAGACTCTATGTTTGATTTAATCTAACAGTCAATCCAATCAAAAAAATATACTACTCTGATTTGGCTTATTACTGAATCCTTGTTGTTGTTGTTATGTGCCGTTGAGTCGGACCCGACTCATAGTGACCCCTCCTTGGATTTCCAAGGCAGTATCTCTATGGAAGTAGATTGCCCCATCTTCCTTCTGAGGAGTGGCTGGTCGGTTTGAACTGCCAGCCTTCTGGTTAGCAGTCAAGTGTCTTAGGCACTATGCTACCAGAGCTCCTACTGAATCCTTACTGGCCTCTTATGTTATAGGTGTAGAATCTACCTTCCTTCTTTTCATGAGAAGTAGGATAAGATTTGCTCAATTATGTGTATTTAATTTCTGCTTTGAAGATCCTTCTCCTTATCAGAGAAGATAGACATGATATAGAAATGGGAAATTTCTTCTTACTGCCACTAATAACATAACATTATCAGTTCTAAGCAGTGGATTTTTCCCTCCCTTGGCTGTCTAGTTGCAAATGAGAATTCAAAGCCTTTTTATAATTTTGTATTTTTAAAAATAGTAAAAAAGAAAAAATACTTTGCAAATTTTACTTCATTAGTGTGCTTGCTTTTGTTTTCCTGACACTATTGCTAAATTTTTCTGTTAAGAAATTTAAAAAGCGTACATATTTCTTATCAGGAGCTCTGGTAGCATAGTGCCTAAGGCACTTGACTGCTAACCAGAAGGCTGCCGGTTCAAACCCACCAGCCACTCCTCAGAAGGAAGGTTGGGCAATCTACTTCTATAGTAATACCACCTGGGAAACCCAAGGAGGGGTTGCTATGAGTCGGGGCCGACTCGATGGCACATAACAACAACATTTCTTATTAGGATATACCCATTCTAAAGGCTTTTCCTTCTTAGAAGGAAAGGGTAAAGATGAGATACTAGTCAGGATCTAGAGGGTGAGGCTTGTAAAATTTCTAAGTCCAGGAACATTGGGGTGTTTTGGCCCACACTCTGAAGAGTTACTGGCAGGATTTCCTGCCTCATAACTAGTGTGGACTCAGACTATATTTTTTGGTTTTGAAATTAGGCCCTCTCCTAGGTAGACTCGATCAGTTTGAACTGTTTTCATCTCTTATGCTGATTAGTTGATTCTATTCATTAGATATACCCAAGTTTAATTCTAGAGAATTATTTATGTGTTGATGTCCTCAATAGTGACATTTAAGCAAAGAAAAATGACAGCATTTAACAGGACACTGATTACTATTGCATCATTTGTTAATAAGTATCAGAAAAACATTAACCCACTAATAGATGTTTGCTTTCTCTACAGGGACTAAAATTGAACAGTTTGCAAAAATTGGGTGGAAAAATCATAAACATTCAGTTAATAACCCGTAAGTATTTCAGAGACTTGAAATAATCCAAATCTGCATCATCCTGCTGTGAAATAATGGAACTTTATACTTGAAAAGCAAATATAAGACTTCAGAGATCCTAACTAGAATTTTTTTTTCTTATAAAAGCTTTGTGTCCAAGTAAGCTTTTGACTACCTTTCAGTTTTACTTCTTGACCTGTTTATATTTAGAATGACATTTAAGCTTAATGACTGTTTTAAAAAAGAATGCAAATGGCTGGTATTAAAAGATCTAATTATAATATACTGCAACTCTGGTGAGCAAAATTTATTCTAATACTTTTAATTGAAAATAACCAGTCACCATGTTAAACCATTCCTTAAAACTTCCTTTCATCAATTTAAACGTTTATAAAATGCATATAATAATGAGGATAAGTTTTAATTATTTCTGTGTCATTAGCTTTTTGCCTACTAGAGCAGTATGGTTATTATGTCCTAAAAATAATCTGAAGTGAGATTACATGAAATATATTACACATTATTAATCTTTGTATTCCTAGTAGCTAGCATAATGCCTGGCTCATAGCATGTACTTAATAATGGTTACTGAAGAAAATTGGTTCATTAGGAATTTAGTTAATAACTAGTTTCACTAAAGAAACTGTGCCACAATAAAATAATATTAGCTATCTTTGTTGAGTGCTAACTGTGTGCCACTGTGCTAGGTACTTTTAGATACATTTTTATTTAATCCTCTCAAGGACCCTGTAGGGTAGTATTATCCTATTTTCTAGGTGAGGAAGATGAGACTGACAGGGAGTAACTTGCCCAAGATCATTCTAAGTGGTGGCAAAATAATCTGTTTACATTGTTTCTCATACTCCCTGAGAGCAAAGGCCATCTCTTATATTTATGTTCTTTTTTTAGAATGTTCTATTGTGTTTTAGGTGAAAGTTACCTAGCATATTAGTTTCCAGTTCAACATTTTTACACAGTTTGTTCCCTGACGTTGATTGCTGTCCTCACAGTGTGTCAACATGCTCTCTGTTTTCACTCAGCCTTCCCTGTTTCCATCCTTCCAGTCTTCCTGTTCTCCCTTGCCTTCTCATCTTTTCTTTTGGGAAAATGCTGCCTGTGTGGTCTCCTATAGTTAATTGTTCTAAGGAGCATATTTCTCACAGGTATTACTCTTTATTTTATAACCCCCCCCCCGAAAAAAAAAAACCAAACTTACTGCCCTTAAGTTGGATCCAACTCACAGCGGCCTCTTCTTGGGTTTCTGATGCAGTATTTCTGCAGAAGTGGATTGCCCAATCATCCTTCTGAGGAGTGGCTGGTGGGTTTGAACTGCCACGCCAGCCTTCTGGTTAGCAGTCAAGTGCCTTAAGCACTATGGCACCAGAGCTCCTATGTGTGTGTGTGTATATATATATATATACACACACACACACATACATACATACATACACACACACACATACATATATACATGTATTTATGGGTGTGTGTGTATATATGTATGTGTGTGTAAAAAACCTCTCTCTCTCTATATATATGTATATGTATAAATACTTGAGAGAGAGAGAAATTTATCTTCAGGAAATTGCTCACACAGTTTCACACAGTTGTAGAGGCTGACAAAGTCTGGATTAAATGTCAAGTTGGAGGCTTCTTCTGACTCAAATAGCTAGCTGCAAGGGCTAACGAACTCAAGATTGGCAGGCAGTATAGCAGACTGCTGTCTGCTGAGGCTGACAAATCTGAGATGGGCAGGTAAAATAACAGATTTTTTGGTTCACAAACTGCAAAGGCAACAATCCCAAAGTCGGTGGGAAACAATGGCAGATGACTGGTTCAAGTCCAGGAAGTGGAGATAATGACAAGCCAAATGCATGAGCAAAAAGCAAACCTTTCCCAAAGCTCTTCCATATATACTCAAAGCAGGCCATACCTTGAAGGCAACTCTACTTCAACTAATTAGCTGCTCACAGCAGATTCCACCATGGAAGTGATTATACCACATCCAATATCATCACGGGGAATAACTATATCACAACTGTTAAGCCACTCAAAATCACGGCAGGGCCAAGTTGACACACAACATTAACTACCACAGCATTGAAAGAAGACATCCAAGGTGCACTGAAGGCATTGGAGAAAAACAAGGCTCTAGAAATTGATGGAATAGCAATTGAAATGTTTCAGTGAACAGATGCAGCACTAGAAGTACTCACTTATTTATACCAATAAATTTAGAAGACAGCTACCTGGCTTGGCTAGCCAACTGGAAGAGATCCATATTTGTGTCCATTCCAAAGAAAGGTGATCCAGCAATGCAGAAATTATCACACAAAATCATTAAAATCACATGCAAGTAAAATTTTGTTGAAGATAACTCAAAAGTGGTTGCAACAGTACTCTAACAGGAAACTGCTAGAAATTCAAGCCAGATTCACAAGAGGACATGGAAGGAGGGATATCATTGCTGACATTAGTTCTTGGCTGAAACCAGAGAATACAAGTAGATGTATACCTTTGTTTTCTTGACTGTGGAAAAACCTTCTACTGTATGGGTCATACCAAATTTTTGATAACATTGCAAAGAATGAGAATACCACAATATTTCATTGTGCTCATGCAGAACTGTACACAGACCAAGAGGCAAACATTTGAACAAAATAAGGGGACACTGTGTTTTAAAATTGTGAAAGGTTATGTCACAGTTGTATCCTTTCACCATACTTGATCAGTCTATATGCTGAGCAGATAATCTGAGAAGCTGGGCTATATGAAGAGGACAGCATCAGGATTGGAGGAAGACTCAAACAACCTGTGATAGGCAGATGACACAGCCTTGCTTGCTGAAAGTAAGGACTTGTAGCACTAACTGATGAAGACCAGACTATAGCTTTCAGTATGGATTACACTTCAACATGAAGAAAATAAAAACCTTACAATTGGACCAAGAAGCAACATCATGATAAATGGAGAAAAGTTTGAAGTTGTCAAAAATTTAATTTTCCTTGGGTCTAAAATCAGTGCATTGGAAAGAATACCAGAGAGCAAAGAATACCAGAAAGATGTTTACCTATGCTTTATTGATAATGCAAAGGCATTTGAGTATGTGGATCATAACAAATTATGGATAACATTGTGAAGAATGTGAATTCTAGAACACTTTATCATGCTCAGGGAGCTCTGGTGGGGTAGTGCCTAAGGCATTTGACTACTAATCAGAAGGTAGATGGTTCAAACCCACCAGCCACTCCCTGGAAGGAAGATTGGGCAATTTACTTTGGCAGTGATATCACCTCCGAAACCCAAGGAGGGTTGCTATGAGTTGGATCCGAATCGACAGCAGTGAGTTTTGTTTTGGTTCGGTTTATCTGCTCAAGAAGAATCTATATATAGACCAAGAGGCAGTCGTTCAAACAGAACAAAGGGATACTGCATGGTTTAAAATCAAGAATGGTGTACATCGGGGTTATCCCCCCTCCCCTTAACACAGGGTTGTAGCCTTTTACCATACTTATTCAATCTGTATGCTGAGCAAATAGTTCAAGAAGCTGGACTCATTGAAGAAAAATGTGGCATCTGGATTGGAGGAAGACTCACAACTTGAGATATGCAGATGATACAGCCTTGCTTGCTGAAACTGAAGATGACTTGGAGCACTTAATGATGAAGATAAAAGACTATAGCCATCAGTATGGATTACATCTCAACATAAAAAACAAAAACAAAACAAAACAAAACAAAAAACAACCCAAATCTTCACAACTTGACCAATAAGCAACATCACAATAAATGGAGAAAATATTGAAGTTGTGAAGGATTTCAATTTAGTTGTGTCCACAGTCAATGTCCACAGAAGGAGCAGTCGGGAAATCAAATGATGTATTGGATTGGTCAAATCTGCTGCAAAAGACTTTAAAGTGTTACAGAGCCAAGGTGTCACTTTAAGGACTAAGGTGCACCTGACCCAAGCTATTGTCTTTTCAGTAGCCTCATAAGCATGTAAAGCTGGACAATGAATAAGGAAGACCACACAAGAGTTTATGCCATAAATTTTGTGGTGTTGGTGAAGAATATTGAATATATCATGGACTGCCAGAAGAATGAACAAATCTGTCTTGGAAGAAGTACAGCCAGAATGCTCCTTAAGCAAAAATGGCCAGATCATGTTATTAGTAGGGACCAGACCCTGGAGAAGGATATCATGCTTGGTTAAGTGGAGGGTCAGTGAAAAAGAGGAAGACCCTCAACAAGATGAGCCAACACAGTACCGTATGTGTCAAATGATGTATTGCATTGGTATATCTGCTGCAAAAGACCTCTTTAAATTGTTATAGAGCACAGATGTCACTTTGAAGATTAAAGTGCACCTGACCTGTAGCTATGGTATTTTCAGTAGCCTAATGTGCATGTGTGAGCTGGACAATGAATAAAGAAGGCCGCAGAAAAATTGATACATTTGAGTTATGTTGGTGAAGAATACCTAATGTGCCGTGGACTGCTAGGAGAACAAGCAATCTGTCTTGGAGCAAGTACAGCCAGAATGCTACTTAGAAGTAAGAATGACTGGACTTCCTCTCTCATACTTTGTTATTGGGAGGGACCAGTCCCTGGGGAAGGATATCATGCTTGGTAAGGTAGAGGGTCAGTGAAAAAAGGAAGACCCTTAAGGGGTAGGTCGACACAGTGGCTGTAATTATGGGCTAAAGCATAGCAGTGATTGTGAGGATGGCACAGTACTGGGCAGTGTTTCGTTCTGTTGTACATAGTGTTGCTGTGAGTCGAAACCAACTCGACAGCACCTAACAACAAGTCTTCCAATCAATGATCATGGTATATTTTTCCATTTATATAAGTCTCTGGGTTTCTTGCAAGGAGCTCTCATGGTACAGTGGTTAAAGCATTTGGCTGTTTAACAAAAGGTTGGCAGTTTGAACCCACCAGCTGCTCGGTGGAAGAGAGATGAGGCAATCTGCTTCTGTAAAGATTTACAGCCTTGGAAATCCTATGAGGCAATTTTA